TCCCAGGACCCAGGGACAGTTCTCCAGACCTTGGCCTCTCACCCAGGGACAGTCCCTAGGGAACAAAGGGTTTTGCCTGTTTGGCTAACCGGCCCTGTTGGCTGACGTCTCCCACTGAAAGGAGCAGAGCAGCCAGATCCCAGAGAGCCCTGCTTGGCCTACAGCTCGCTTCCCCACCACACTGCATGAGGCCTTGGCACCCTGCAGCTCCAGCTAGGGCTCTTCTGGCCTGCAGGAGACCTGATTTCCCTGGGAACAGCAGGCCCTTCAGAAATTGTCCAGCGATCGCCTTGCCCAAACATGCTAGTCGATCTGATTTTAGTCTGTTTTTACTTCCTTAACTAGGGGATAGCTTTTCTAGAACCTTCTGTACCAACCCTTGGGGAAACCACAAACTCAAACCGCTACCCCAGGGTATCTTCTCCCAGTGGCTCCAAACCATGAAGGCACTTGTAAACTTAAAGTGAAGTAAATATACATCAGCTGCTCTGGAACTTGATGCAGAGTGTGCAAGTGGCCCACGTTCCAGGTCCTTCTGCAGCACAGGTGTCCATGTGACCTTGAGAAGGTCAGTGCTTTGCTTTTTCTTTCTATTCCTTTTTTTTCCCCTTTTCTTCAGTACTAGGGATTGAACCCGTGGCCTTTTACACTAAGCTACTTCTCCAGCTCCTTTTCCTTTGAGATAGTGTTTCACTAAGTTGCTAAATTACCCAGGTTGGGCTCTGACTTGTGATCCTCCTGCCTCAGCCTCCCAGAGTGCTGGGATCATAGGTGTGTGCCACCAGTCACAGTTCTCTGAGGTTCTGTGTGTTTATACGATTTCTTTATATAACAGCAATACCATATGAAACCCCTCCCGTTCACCCCCTCCATCCCCCATGTTGCCCAAGTCAGCACTGAACTTCTCACCTCAAGCAATCTTCCAGCCTCAGCCTCCTGTAGTCTGGGACTACAGACAAGCTAGCCATGTCTAGTCTTAGGGTCTCTGCTATTTTGTCTGTCAAATGCAGAGGTTGGCCTTAGCCTGAAGCTGTGGTCACTATGGTCCATCACTGAAATCCTTTTCTGATGAGGCACCCGGGCTCCCTGGACAGGAGTTGTCTCCTGGGACCTTGCATTAGCACCTCTGAGCCTGGCACTGGCCTCCAGTTTTCAGGGGCCCCAACTCAAAGAATTCTAACAACCAACCTGAGAGGAGGTAGTTATTATCCTCCTTTTACAGATGGACATACTGAGGGTCAGAGCTTGAATAGTGTGCCCAAAGAACACAACTAGTCAGCGGGGGTGGTGGGATTCAAACCCAAGTCTATTTATCTCTGGGTTCTGCACAACTAAGTGTCATGTGCTAGGCAGAAGATGATGCGAGAGCCAGCAGAGCTCGGGCCCAGAAGGGTCAAACCAGCGCTCTACATGTCCAACCACACATAAGCACAGACACCTTTATTTCAGTGCTTAGAGTCAGAATAGAATGGTGAGCTGGGCATGGTAGTCCATGACCATAATCTCAACACTCTAGGAAGCTGAGGCAGGAAAATCATCCAGGTCAAGCCCAGCTGGGTAATTTATTGAAACTCTGTCCCTAAATAAAAGATAAAAAGGGGCTGGAGATACATAACTCAGTATGAAGGCCCTGGGTTCAATCTCCAGTACAATAATAACAATAATTTTTTTTTTAATGATGAGCTATTTGGTATGGGCAGAGTGCAGAGCCTTGTGGGTAGGGGAGCACAGAGCCTTGTGGGAAGGAAATAGGGATGTTGGTGCTGGAGGAAACGTGGAAAGGTGGGTCAGGGCTGGCACTGCCAGTCCAGGTTCAGCAGGCTGGGCTTCTTGAGGTTTCCAGTTGTGCTCCAGAAAGCTCCTGCTGGTGGCATTCAGGAGGTTGGACTGATGGGCCAAGAAACTGGACACACTTAGTAGGCTGCAGGGGGCCGCATGGGGGGGCGACCAAGATGGAGGGCAGCAGAGGCCTCCTCAGGGTACCCTGAGTTTGGAGGAGGCCCATGGACAGAACATATACACCCTCTGTGGCCTCTGGACACTTCCAGGGAGAAGGAAGGTCATGCAAGGGATCTGGAAGAAAGAGAGGGTGTTGTGCACCCCAGGCTAGCGTGTGAGCCCCTGCTCAAATCTCAGCCTGAGTTTCCAGCACCAGTAGATTAGAGGCTACAGTTCCCCTCCTCTGCTGATCACCTGTACCTAAAGGGTTGGTCCTGGGTCTAGGGATTTTCTGGGTGTCCCTCCATGCCCTAGACATGTACCCCAAGGTAGCCTGCAGGGCAGTGATGGTCGGGTTGGGCAAAGAGAGGCGCCACCCTGTGGTGGTGTCTGGAGCCCTGGCCTCCCCCACTCATTCTCCCCTCACTTGCTCTGCTTCCAGTGCCACGGAGGCGCCACGCCTGCTCTTAAAGGATTCGTGTGGCTGCATGTGAAGAGGCTGCTCCAAACCACCAACCACATCGGAGCTCAGTCCAGCGGCCTGGAGCCAACCCAGGCGGTGATGTCAGAGGCCTACACCACTCCCCGTCTCTGAGCCCTTCCTCTGGAACTAATCTGGGATCATCTCTCCTTAATCTTTAAGTCTCTTTATTTTTTTTTATTTCTCCAGTGCTGAGGATCAAACCCAGGCCTTGCACACAGTGGACAAACACTCTACACTGAGCTCCACCCCCAGCTGGGGCTTCTGGACTCCTAACCAGCTTTGCCATGCTCCCTACCTCCTCTGATCTCCGTGTAGAAATAAGAGCAAGAACGCAAGGAGAACCCAACAGGAACATACAAAGGCTGCTCATTCATAACTTGCCGCAGCAAGAGCGGCAGATGCTGTCACTCAAATTCAGGAGTGATGCCAAGGCAGGATGAAGAGCAGATTTTCAAAATGGGAAGGAGAGCGGGGGAGATAGCTCAGTGGCATAAGTGCCTGGCTGACATGTGCAAGGTCCCAAGTTCGATCCCCAGTACTGAAAACAAACAAACAAACAAAAAACAGCAACAATAACAAAAATCTTCTTTGGGGCCTAGGAGATAGCTCATGCCATAAAAGCTGCCTGACAAGTGCAATATCTTGAGTTCAATCCCTAGTACTGCAAAAATAAGTAAATAAAATTTATATCAAAGTGGAAAGGAGACTGTTTTAGGTATTCCCGGCAGGATACTGTTGGCTGGGGAGCTGGAAGAGGGGCATCCTATTTTATGCACCAAGGGACATATTTGGCATTTGCTTGGAAATGGCATAGACTGAAAATGAGAATGTGGCAAACTCTTTTGTCAATCAAGGCCTGGCCATGCGCACTATGTGCCACTGGGTAGCTGTTTGGCTTCTTGGGCAGCTGTTAGAGCTCATAGTCTGACTTTCTGTAAGTCTGACTTAGATGGTGGGTTGGCTAACCAGGCCAGGTTCCAGTTTCCATAGTAACAGGCTGGCTGCCTGAGGGCGTGACAGTAGGTACAGTTTGTTTCCAGCATTAGGTGCTGCAGCTTAAAGGCCAGCATTCTGTTTTGGGGGGAGGCGTACTGGGGATCAAACTGAGCCACATCCCCAGCTCTTTTTTTTTTGAGACAGGGTCTTGCTAGGTTTCCTAGGCTGGCTTCAAACTTGCGGTCCTCCTGCCCCAGTCTCCCCAGTGTGTGGGATCACAGGTGTACGTCACTACACCTGGCCAGGATTCTTTTTCAGTCTGGTCTAGCCAAGCCCATTTGTACAGTCAGTCACACCTACAGCCTCGGAAAGTCAGACAAGCAAATTGCGAAGCAGACAGGTCAGCTCTCTTAGCCAAGGTCATGGAACTAGGACATTTCAGAACCTGGCCAGGAAGCCACTGGGTCTGGGACCTCTCTTTGCTTCTCAGGCAGACCCTGAGGCTTCCAGAGGTGAGATGTTTGCCGGTTCAGATCTGCCCCACTCCTGTCCCATTACTTTCAGCATGGCCCCAACAGGTATTTATTAAGTGAGCAAATACAGATTTTTATGATGCTACCGAGGGAACCAGTAGGAGTGCAGAGTGCAGACCCAGGCTGAGAAATACTTGTGTGGTTAGATGCACCACGCTTTCCAGAAATGCTTGCGCATGCTGCACTCCCAGTGCTTGGGAGGCTGAGACAGGAAGATCACCAAAAGTTTGAGGCCAGCCTAGACTACACAGTGAATCTCCACCAAAAATAAATAAATAAATAAATAAATAAACCCACCATGCTCCCAACCACCTGTTCTTTGGCTTTGTGCAAGCATGTCAGGCCCTCAGTGGGAGCTCGTATGGCACTATTTTCACGAATTGGAGATTAGGATTGAGTCTGACCCATCAGGGAGGCCAATCTGAGGAGGAGGACGCGGAAGCTCGAGGCACGCAGCAGACGGAAAGCCAAGATGGCCCCATGGTCTCCATCTCTGTCCCTGGTGTGACTCCCAGGACTCCATTGTATTTGTGAAATAGGGATTTATGGAGTTGGGAGACTTGTACCGCAGGGACAACAAGTGTCAGTGCGAAGGGGGAAGATGCAGGGGTGACCTGGCTGTTGGTCCTGCTGTGTGCTGTGTTAGCCCAGTAGCCCTAGGTCGCCATCTGTCCCGAGCCCTAGTTTCTACACTGGGAAGCAAGACACTGGCCCAGGTAACCTAAGCCTATCTATTGTGATCCAGATTCTTTGGAGCCCCAGGGAGGCCAGGATTAAGGCCAGCTCCCCGGGGTAGTTCTGGTCAGGTGGATATGGGTGGTGCCTTGGTTCTGAGGGAAAAAGAAGCCGAAGAGATCACTTCTGAATGTGGCCTTGTTGTGAGCAGACTGTGGGGCTTTCGTTGCACACACCCCCATCTCCCAGTTCCTCTGAGTATGAGCCAGGGATGAAGGGCCACACCCAGAAAGAAGATATCTGGTGAACAGGTGCGGCTGTTGATTTTTCCAAGGGCTTGGTTCTGCTTCCTGCCGTCTGAACACCTCCCCAGGACGGTGGAGCAGAGGGGTGGTGACAACCTGATAAAGCTGTTTCCAACCTTTCTGTTTTACCTGGTGCTGTGTAGCAGAGGAGAGAGTCCAGGGAGGGGAGGTGACAGGGCCTCCCTGCCCAGTCAGAGCCCTTCCACTGCCCATCATGTAGCTGCAGGAGATGGGCTGGGCAGGGGTCCTGCACACAGCCTGGAGCATCTCGGCTCTGTGCTCTTCCATCACCAGCATCCTTTCTTTCTTCTTGGCTCAAGAAAAGAGTCCGGCACGGACTTGGACCCTGGAAAGCTAAGGAAAGAAAATGTCATGTGGCTGGGTGGCAGCAGGAGGAGGAGGAGGTCAGAAACAGAGTAAGTGCTTGAGGATGTCAAGAAGGAGTTGCAAGGGGGATGAAGGGGTGGACACCTGTCTAGAGGGCAAAGGGCTCAAAGGGAGCAGGGTGAGAAAATGCAAAACCAGCTGAGTCACACCGCTCTTTGGGTAGTCGCTTAGAGCTATGTCAGATCAGGCAAAGGACTACAGTTGTTTATTCGTGCTTAATGGGGGGGGGGGGTCCTTGCCCACAGGCCTCTGTCACTTCTCCAGGGTTCCAGCTTCTGGGCCTTTCTTGATATCTATATTTTCCTGAAGCTCTTCTATCCCTGTTGCTGCAAAGGCCTTCCAGGGGCCTAGGATGAATTTCTCCCTCCCAGCCCCTCAACCTCATCCCTTTCCAAAGCTTCCTCTCAACTATGCTCCAGCCAAGCCTGTGGGTTGACCACCAGGTTCCCAGGACCTTGCACCAAACTGACAGACTCTGTGACCCATGCCCTCAGGACATATATATGGCATGCAGATGACATAAGCCATCTGGCATATTGGATTTATTTTGGGGGGGACTTGGAAATTCAGGGAGGGGTAGACACACCCAGGCATAGAGATCTTAATGCCTTGGCTATGCTAAATCCTGTCCAGTTGGCTCTACAGTCAAGTGTCTGGGTCTTACAGAAATCTGAGGACTGCCTGGGCCTTTTGTCCCCCAGCCTTGCTGCCCACCAAGAATCCTGCCACACCTTTTGCTGCCTTTTATAGCTTCCCTGGGAAAGGAAAGGCACAAGATCAGAAAGACAGCTTCTAATGAGAGTGCTGTATTAGGGTACATGAATGCCAAGAGAGGCTGCCCCTCTTTAATCCCCCCAGGGCCTAAAGCTCATCAGCACAGGGAAGTCCAAGGCGGGGTCTGCAGTGAGGTGGGACATCAGCTCCGCTGGGGTTGGACGGAGCATGAGCTACACGAAGGATCATTTTGCACTATTGCACTCCAGGGTAGAGACCCTACAGCTAAGCAAGCATTTTTATCATGTGGAGACATTCTTGTGTAACTACACAGGAGACAGCCCCAGGAGGGGGGCAGGAGGCACTGGGCCTTGGGAGAAGCTGAGAGCCGCCTCAGGGAAGCCCTGGAAACACATTAAAGGCAGATCCTCCAGGAATCGGAACCAGCTGTTGAGAGTGGCTGAAGATGAAAATTGATCATATATGTGGAGGCAAGACCAAGCCACAGTGCCTAGAGCAGCCAAGCTACTGCAATCTCCAGAAGGAAAAAAAAAAAAAAAAGAAAAGAAAAAGAAAAAGAAAAAAAAACAAAGAAATCCTGCCTAGACAATTTCAGTAGTTAGTTGCTAGGCAACCTTTTGTCTCAGGATATTAACTTTGCAAATAAACACCCCTACTATGATTGTTCAGTCCTCTTTTCTCACCAGGTAGAAAAGCCTCCACCTGACCTTAGTCTTGCATCTTTATTTTCTACATCCCCTCATTCTTTCTCCTGGGAACCACCAAGAGCCTTACAGGTCATGACAGCCAGCAGACAAGCGAGAGTCCAGCCTGAGATGGTGGCCAGAGGCCCATGGACAAAGTCTTCCTGCTCACCACTTCCCTGCCCTCCCCAGTGTCAGGTCACCTGTGGGATAAATCAGGCACCATCTGGGTGGCAAGAAGAGGGCCAGGGAATGACTGGGGAGTGAGCTGCCTTTCATTCACCCTGAAGTCTCACTGCCCAGGCCTGCTCTTCCCTAAGAGTAAGCAGGTGTTAGGAAGTACATCTGGGCTTTTTGGAGGTGGATCCCTGGTCACAGGGCCAGGCATATTTCCCTTGGGGCAGTGTGCTCTGCTCAGTATTAAGCCTCTGGGGGCACAGGGTCCAGTTTCCATGAGGGAAAGGAGCTTAAGGGGGAGGCAACATTTCCTCTGTGTTCCTAGATCCTTCTCCTGCATGGATGCAGCTGGGCCAGGCATGTCAGGCACCCCACTGTGGTTGGGTGGAACTAGGTAGGCAGCTCTTTGGCTGAGCACAAAAGTCACTTTAGCTGTAAAGGATGTCACCCTGGGCTCTTGGCTAAAATCTCCAAGCACTGTGAAAAACAGAATTCTGAGACTGTCTCCATAATCTCTGTCCCTGGGTATTACCCCCATAGCTCTATTGCTGTGCATATATTTACAGTCTGATTAAGGTCACTAGTTAGCTGATTTTCAAATAAGGTCACCATTTGGGTGGACCTGACCTAATCACATGAACTCATTCAAGGCAGACAATGGCTTGAGCAGCAGAAGGCAAGTCAGAAATTTTAAGCACAGGAAGGATTTGATGCACCTAAAGATGTGGAGGTTGTGAGGTTGCTATGTGGAAAGGATTTGAGAGCTGCCTCTCAGAGCTCCAAGAGACCCTCAGCCAATAGCTAGCAAGGACCCTATTCCTACCACACAGGAACTGGGATCTGAGAACAACCTCAGGGAACTTGGAAGTAGATTCTTCCCTAGGGCCTCTGCTGGGAGCTCAGAGAGGCCCATACCTTAATTTGGGCCTTGGGACATCCCAAGCAAAAGAACCAGTGGAGCCTGCCTCAAACTTCCAACCCCTAGAACTGGGAACTCTTCTGTGGGTGTTATCTTAAGCCGCTAAGTTGTGTTATGTAGCAATGATACCTAAATCAGATCCCTGCAGCATGGAGCTTCCACAGCATGTCTGTTCAGCCCAGGGAAGGGCAGCATTTGGATTTCGCCCTCAGGCTGCACTCTGGCTATGCCCCTGCTCCCCACAGAGGCAGCAAAATCTCATCCAATCAGTCACTGCCGCAGACCTAAGCTCCTGTGATTAGGCTGGAGGCCCAAGTCTGGCACAAACTAGTTATGGATGGGCCAGTCACAGGGAACAGCTGGGTTTCTTAGGCCTAGCTACAGGTTTCCTATATGCTTGTTTCTCTGCTAACATGTACATAAACTTGGTTGCTTTTTTTGTTTTAATTTTTTGAGATTAGGTCTTGCTAGGTAGTTCAGTCTTGCCTTGAACTCACTATACAGCCAAGGTTGACCTTGAACTCATGGTGATTCTCCTCCCTTAGCTCCCTGAGTTATTGGGATTACAGGTATGTGCCACCACAAACCCAATCTTGTCCTATATTTCTGCCCAGTTTTGATACTGTTGTATCTTCTAATCCTTGGCAAAAGCAAATTCTTTTATAGCAAGTTATTTAGGTAGGACTTCCTAATGGAAGACCCAAATTACTTTCAAATAATCCCATAAGATTCAAAATGATTAGTTGTCTTTTAGTTCCCTGACTTAAATGTTTTGATTTCATCCTGTGGCAGAGATGCTTAGCTGTTTACTAAAAGTCCTCATCCTTTTAGTGTTGCTGTCATGGAGGATCAAAGACTACATTTCCCAAGTGTCCTTGCAACTAGGGTAGTTATGTGACAAGTTTCCACCAATAGGATATAAGCCTGAGAGGGCACACTCTTGAGCCAAGGCCAGAAGAAACAAGAGTGTGGCATCCATCCTTTCCACTCTCTTCTGCTAGCTACATGTAGGTGACAGCAAGACCTGAGGGCAAAAGGGAGCCTCAAGATAAACAGAGCCCAGGTCCCTGAATCACCATGTGGAGAAAGTGACTGGCCAATCAGGAACAACTGCTTTTCTCTGTTGTGTGAATAATCAGTTCTACTATATATCTGGGGATTGTCATTACTTTTTAGCCTGCCTTTATAAGACATCCCTCTGCTTCCTTCTACCTAAATCACAATGCACAAGATGCTGACAAAGCTCCTGGGGTGAAACCCTCCAGCTCTCCCCGTATTTCACTTTCCCTGGCTGGCTCTTCTGCCTGTCTTGGTTCACACTGTTTGCTTGCTCTGAAGTCTGCAAACGCAGCCAGCCTGGGCCACCATCCATCTGCCGTTGATGAGCGCCTAGCCCCAGCAAAATGCATATTTATTCTCCCACACATAGGGTTCTTTTTTCAGCAAAGGTAGTGAGTACAGCAATATATTTGGAGATCAAGCTGCTATTCAGCACATGGTTCCTGATTACTCTGGGACACATCCAGGGAGCTCACGGCTTCAGCCTCTACTCCCCAAGCTGGAGCCTCCAGAGGTTGTCAGAGAGGTGCAGGGGGCAATGGAGGGGGAAGAAAGCCAGAAGGAGGTGACAATGCTCTCAGAAAGCAATTAAGCATTGCTTGGTGGCCTCAGGGACAACCTCAACTTTTTGTACTTTTCCTCCAGGGAGGCTGAGGAGCAGGGGAAGAAAATATTGTGGCTGTAGTTCTTGAAAACCCTGCTTCATATTGTGGCATTGAGAGGACAGAGAAGCTCCCTGCAGGAGCCCTACCCTGCCACTTCCTGCCCCAGTGCTCCCCCATGGAGACCCTCAGAATAAAACCAGAGTGGGGGCCCCAAATACCAAAGAACCTCTTGCCATCACTCATGTCTCAAGCATGGCTCTGGATTGTCAGCCCCAGCACTAAGAAAAGAGGCTGGACTGAAGGTTACCAGTAATCAAGCCAGAAAGAGGCTGTTGTCCCCACTAAGGCTCCCAGATGCCAAGGCCCAGCTCCTCTGAAAGGTCAGAGGCCCTGGACATAATAGAACGCCACGGCCCATCCTTCCATGGGCTCCAAGAAGACCTTGCCTCAGCAGTTTCCAGCACAAATTTGCTGTTTGTTTGAGTCAGGAAATCACAGGCTGCAGACTCCCCAGGGGCCCAAGAATCCAGCCACTGGCTCCTCCTGTCCTTGCGTGAGCTGGACGGTTAGATGCACAGAGCAGCACCGAGGTTAAATTACAACCTGACCTGGGCTGCCTCTCAGATGCCAAGACCTTCAGGGAGGGTCAGTGGGTAACCCGGTCTCTGCAGCCCTCTCACACAGCGGCCTGGGTGGGGCAGCTCTGCCCCAACTCCAGGCAGCTCTTTGCCCCAACCCTGAAGTGGTGGTGACAGGGTGGATGTATCACAGGAGTTTCAGTGAAGACAG